TAGTCGCGGGGCTCTCTTTCTTTCGTTAATTGCACAGGGGTTCAGATGGTGGTAGCCAGGTCGCGCTTGTGGTTGAACCTATGCGAAAGCCAATGGCGTCCTGGTATAGTGTGGAAGGAGGAGTACTGGGTCTGGAGACGGTTGTGGCCCGGACCGACTTTGTTCACTCTGGGATGTGGCGGTTTTTTCTTGTCGGGTCCTAAGGTAAGTTCTGCTCTCGCTCTCTTGATGCCCGGGTTCGTTTGTGATTTCTGGTCACCAAAATCTTGGTGTCGCTGGGGGACTGTCAGGGGTATGTTTCTAGGGCTGGGTGGAGAGTGTCGTGCTCGTCTGGGCTTTGTTGGTTCGTTGGGGCTTTGTCGCCATTCGTTCCTCTTCCTTCCTTGTTCTCGGATTCGGAGTCCGAGGGAGGCCAGCCGTTTTCGGCCTTGGCTAGTGGTGTTAGTCGACTTCGGGATGGTGTCGGACTTGGCTAGTGGTGTTAGTCGGTTGGAGGACGTTTGTGGCTTCTTACAGTCGAAGAGCGGGTCGATTTGATTGGATTGGTTCGAGGTTCAGGTCTTCGTGTTTGCTAGGCAATAGACAGTGGCGGGCGTGACTCCTGTGCTTTGGTTCTCTCCTTGGAGTTGGCATATGTCTGTCGTTCAATTTGGATGGCATCGATTTTTTTGTTTTTGTTAGGTTTTTTTTTTGGTTCATGTTTAGGTGTGTTTCGTTTGTTGTGTCTGTTTGTCTTGTGTTTTTGGTTTGGGCTTTTTGCATCTGTATCTGCTTGAGTATCAACTTATTATCCTGTTGGGATCGGACACTCGGGTATTATCCTGGTGGGATTTGTTTTTCAGTAGTTTCAGTTGGTTTGTGTAGTTGAATTAGTGTAGTTGAGTATGTTTTAATTCTAGCTTTGCTAGTGTCAGGAATTCTAGGCGGTCTTCTGACATGTCCTCCTACTTTTTCACCTGTTGGTTGTTCTATTCAGCTAGGGCTGTGTATTGTGTATTCGCACATTTGTACACTTTGATTTATTATATTTTCTATCGTTTCGACAAAAAAATCCATTTTTTATGCAAAGTCTACATAAATCAGACTTTTATTGTCTTAATCACTGAAAATCTATGCAAACTTTCATAATATAAATTAATTAAACCATTGATCAACAATACTGATGATATGAGTTTCGATGTATCTCTTACGCAGTATTTGTATTTACCATTTCAAAAATATTATTACTCTGCGATATGTTCTGACGCAAAACAGTCGCATAATTACTCGCCTTTTACGAGGCAATCACTCACGTATTCAAAAGTCGTTTTTGCATGATGAAGTAATGACTATGAGGCAACTTGAAGCATTATATATCAGCAAAACTACTACATGAATGACCCAAAATATTTAATCCACCCCTAACACCGTAACGGAAAAAAAAAAACAAAAAACAATAACAATATGTTTCATGGTTAAAATCGTCTACCTCCTCATCCCAATAACGATAAGAGGTTGTTATTTCATTTTAGTAGTTGATTATTGATTTTTCATATGTATTAATTTTTAGTTAGAATTAATTCTTACACAACGTTAAATTCAACTAATTCAGGTTCTACCTCGTAACACCGATGAATATTTTCGACCAAAGAAAATAACAGAGTGTCAGATCGAAAACAATCAGGGGTTATTTAGAACACATCTTATACATCTAGAACACTATGTTCATTCCATCTCCACTCTCATTGCAGCCATAAACATGTTTTGTTAGGACTGTTACATACCTAGGTTTACTGCGTTCATGACATTGTTTGATATAAAAGGGCCATTTATAAAGAATTGACAATGGGCCTGGGCCTTGATATACTTAACACCCCCCCCTTCAAACTCAAGGTGGAGGTGGAGGATCCGAAGCATTGAGTTTGAGCAAGTGAAGCCGATGTTGTTCTTTAGTTTGTGCTTTGGTAAAAAAATCTGCCACTTGCAGTTCGGAAGACACATACTGAAGAACAATTGTTTTCTGATGACAATGAGATCGGGCAAAGGAAGAATCGACACCAATATGTTTTGTAAGCTCATGCTTCACGGGATCATTGGCAATTTGTATAGCTCCAGTATTATCACAAAGAAGTGGTGTAGAAGCATCACATGAAATACCAAAATCTGCCAACAACCACCGAAGCCATATAATCTCTGAAGTGGTAGTGGCAAGTTCTCGAAGCTCTGCCTCTGTGCTAGAGCGTGATACATCAACCTGCTTCTTGGACTTCCACGTAAGAGGAGAAGAACCAAGAAAAATGCAATAACCAGTGACAGAACGGCGATCTGTTGGATTACTTGCCCAAGTAGAGTCCGAATAAGCATGAAGCTGAAGCGGACTATCACGAGAATAAAACTGACTCAATATATGCACAACATGAGCAATGTCGGGTCTTGTGACAGTAACATAAACCAGACTACCCACAATATGGCGATATCGAGTGGGATCCTCAAGAGGCGTACCATCAGTGGGGCGAAGCTGCAAGTGAAGATCCATAGGTGTAGTTGTTGTCCGATTATCAGTAATACCAAAACGAACAAGAAGATCTTGTATGTATTTTGCCTGAGAAAGGTAATAGCCCAAGTCGGAGTGCATCACCTCAATGCCCAAGAAGTAGCTAAGAGGACCCAAATCAGACATCTGAAATTGCTGACCAAGTTGTTTCTTGGCATGAGAAATATAATCTGCATCATCTCTCGTAATCAGCATATCATCAACATACAAAACAAGAAGAGTACGTCCACGTGGAGAGAGATGAATAAACAAGGCGGGATCATGAC